TATCTTATCTATAAACTGTTTTCTTTTATAAATTATATAAACACATTTCTTAACTACTTGTACACTTAGTCAAGTAAAGTAACTTGTTACATTACAATAGCTAAATTGATTTCATCGTTATAATTCATTATACGTATCAGTTAAATAAATTTATATAAAAATATCATTCGTCATATCAGTCAAATAAATTTATAAAAAAACTGTTACCAATAATTATTACATTATTTTAAAATTCTTTAATTCAAACTATGAATTCAGCTTCTTCATCTTAATCAAATTTTATTACTTCTTCACAAGATGGAAGTTTCCCAAAAGAAATGTATAAAATGTCAGGCTAAAGACCGTGGTCATTATTAGTGTAAAATGGAAATATGGTAAATCTTGAACACTTGGAAAGGCAAAATAATTAGAAAATCATTGGCCACTGAATGTCCAAAAGCCGATATTGAAATGATCATAAATTTCTTCGAATCGTAGCTGCTTTGATATTTAAACTTTGTTCATAAAATACAGTATTGTAAACATAAATAAGTACAATAGCTATAAAATATGTTTTAATTTGCTAAAATATATTAACTATGTAATTCCAGCAAACAATTCGGAGATTCATAATGCTTCTAATATATTTAAATTGCGGCTCTTAATTTAAATCATGGCAGCATATAAATTTTAGTTTAGCTTTATGTTGTAACAGTTGTGGCTATATTTCTACTAAAAAAATTGATAAAATATTTTCGCCAAGCCGCAATTAGTTTCTACTATCGATAGCTTCTATATATTTAATTTTGGCTTTAATTTTGGTTACGGCATTTATTATAGGTTTTGGTTCAACTTTGTGTTACGGCATGAGTTACGGTTTGCGGCTCTATTTCTACTAAAAAATCGATATCGAACTAACTTCGGTACAGCCGCAACTATTTTCTACGGCTTCCCCTGAATCATACTGCCTCCTGTAATTCACTGATTATAAACTAAATATCTTTTTATTGCTGTTTGCTAAATAATATATGTTTGAGCAAATTTTGCAGACCAAAGCTTACACTACAATCGTTCGATTGTGCGATTGTTAACGTAATTTTCTTAATCAAAAATTTGACGCAAATAGGCTATTTTTTAATTGAATATTTATAATTTATGCCGGGGGATATGGATATCCAGGGTGCTATATCTCAAAAAAATGACTAAGAGACAGAGGTCAGGTGTACTAAGTAAAAATGTTCAGCACCCCAAAAAACCTTGTGTAATCTAAAATTTGGGCCTTTATACCTGACCCCTAACCTTTATATTTGACCTCTATTTTAGTATATAATTGCACCCTAACCCTAAATTTTGATATAAAAATATTATAAAAATAGGGTGGATATTAATGACCACCGGTAAAAACAACATTTTTTCTTTTTAATTTATGACTTTCTACGATCACAGCCTCAAAATAATACATTCTCAAAGATAACTTGCACAATTGAGCAATTGGACAATAATCAAGTGATTGTTCAAAGACATATAATTGAGGCCAGATAATTGTAATTAATCGTTTCCACAGTCAATTATTCGATACACCTGTTTATGATGTTCTTTGTATATCTGAATCTTGGATTTTTTTAAGATTACTGTTATTTCAGTTAGTTATAATTTAACGAGCTTATACGAAAGTTAATTTTTGTTTTTGCATTGCATGGAATCTGAAATAATAATTCCGACAAAGCAGTCTAGTTTATTTATAAGCTTGTGAGCAGAATCAACAATACTAAAAGATTTCTTCATGTGGGATTAATTTTTGGATTGATTTCAATCAGTTTTAACATATGAAAAATGAATTCAGTTCCAATTTCTTCATGGGATAGTAGCATAATGAATACTGCGATAATAAAATTTCTCTCAAAGTATACAGCTTGAACATGCACAATTGGACCCCTCTAAATTTAACCCTTAAATGTACGTTCTATGAAATGTCCCATAAATGCATGTTTTCACTCGGTCTAACTAATATAATACTTATAGATTTTTGCCTTCCTAAATGCAATCCCACTCTAAATTGTTCCATCTATCTATTTTTATTAACTAGGAATCGGGAACCGATATAAGTCGGGAGCATTACCATATTTGGTAAAATCCCTGACTGTACCGGTAATCAATTGTTGTTCTCAAAATAGTTTTGTAATCACGCGTCACGCGGAGGGACAGACAAAAAAGTTTAAGTTACGTTATTGATATATTAATTATAATAATTACGTTAATGCATCAAAAAGGAAACGTTTGATGGTCGAAACGCATCAAAAACGTAACTTTTGTATCACTTAATGCGTAAAAATTGAGTATCCGTCGCTACGCTCCAGACAAAAGGCCTAACAATTTACAAAATTTACACCATTTATTACCATTTTTCAATTACTTACTATGCTATGCATCATTGTCATAAGTTTTTCATTTATAAACTAAGTCAGTCAAACATTTGTGTAATATATTATTTTTTTTTAGATTTGATTACGCATAATAGTTACATTCTAGGATAATACTACTTATTTAAGTACTGATCTACGGAGAGATAGTGCATATTTCCGAAAATATGTTACGGTATATAAATACAAACGTATGTAATGTTCACAAGACCATTCTATTAAGAAACTTTAAATCTCTAAATTTGTAAATTGAATTTCTTTAACGTTAAATACAGTAATGACGACTAGTATGTCATAAATATATATATTCTAATACCAAAGAAAAAAAATGGATAACGGAGTATTTGTAGAATCAATAAAAGTTGTGGATGAATTTGATAATATGATCAATATTGAAGGGAAAATATTAATAGATAAAGTTGCTCACGGCAGAAAAAATGTTTCAATAGATTACACTACTGATCTTTGGGAAACATATTATAACGTGGCTGCAAACAAATCGAGTAGTGTTTCATCAGAAAAAGACTTGTACATTTTCAAACTTTCGATCTTTAAAACCCCAAATGCTCCACTTTACCTTGAATTTGCAGTGAAATGTGATATCGCTGGTTCAACTTTTTGGACTAATGGATATCAATATATATATGATGAGAACTGTAC